GGCGAAAAAAAGTCGGTAATTTCCTCTTCAAGTGGTACAAATTGGAAATATGAAACCAACGAGGAGAGGCCGGAAAAGGATGCGTGATCCTTTAGAGAAAGAAATAAAGAGATTTCAATCAATTGTCACAAATAAAGGAAAAAGAGCTCAAACTTAAGTCCCAAATTCTTCAAAATCTGGATCCGCAGTTTGAGAAGCCAACGCCGAGAAAAACTACCACGTCTACCTACCACGAACACTGAAAGAGCGTCAATAAATAGTTGTGGAATCTCTTCCCTCAGCCACTGATTCCAAGATTTGTCACTGTCGACATTCTCTCTGGACGAAGGAACCTCAAAGTCGCCTTGGATGATGAATCGAAAACCATAACTTCTCAGGGGAAGATACGCAAACACGTCCTGTTGTGGCAGGGCCTGTAAAAGATAATGGGTACAATTTATCCTCAGCCTGTCTTCCCTTGATAAAACGTGAGTAGTATGAGACTAAAGGCTACACTCAGCCCATCCAGCCGGAGCTTAATCCAGTTCCTGTACCGTGAAGCGACCAGGGGTTGCGTTATTTTCTTTCCAGATGGGATGCAAGTCCATCGCAAGGTTTGCCCCCTACATTTTCGTCAAGCTTCCCTATAATCTTGGTCTCCCCTTTAATCAATGCTGCATATGTTCGTTGCATATTTTACAAGTAATTATCTAAAGATTTCAAGCAAAATTGAATTGGTGGAGGGAAGAAGTTGTTGTTAACATTTTTTAAAGGGGTGTAATCTAGATTTTTCTCGACAAGTTTTGTCCAAGATTGTAAAGTATACCTTCGCACACAGCTCTTCGCTAAAAATTTCATACCATGGGATTCCAGAAAACCATTTTCACCTGGCTCTTACTCGTTTTCACTTTCAGGAAATACAAAGCAGATCAAAACCTGAAGTGGCAAGAACATAACTTTACCTGGTGTCTCACCCGTAGACTTGGGGTACTGCCTGACTCATCAAATAACGGAAAAGCTAACGCCAGCTCACTCATCTCTACATCTTCTTTCATCTGAATTAAAAATGACAAAAGTATTCCAAATATTTAGTCCGGCTTCATAAATAAGCTTTTAGAAAACGCGCGTAAAAATTAAGATCATACTAAGCGACGTATGAGTGGTGACAGGGATAAACACAAACAAGTCCACAAACGAACGGAAACGAAATAAGAAAACACTGTGATACAGAAGAACATGGCATCATTCCTGGTACCACCCACATATCAATGGTTGTAACGATGGCTAACTTTATTTGCTTGTCTTATAACAACAGTGTAACGACAATAAGTTTGAGATAATCGTAAGCTGTTTTCTTACATTCGAGGCATCAAGCTGTTTTTTGATAACAAGCCACCGATCTGTGCCTTTGGTGTGCTTGATTTCCATGACATGATCTCCCAAGTCCTTCCTCGTCATTTCATTGTAACTTTTGTTTACCTGGAAGAAGATGTGTAAGGTTAGAAGACTTTCTGCAATTTCAGCCACGTAGTAAAAGCAACAAATGCGGAAGGAATAAAGTTTTGGTCGTATCAACTTCGTGATCAGATTGACAAGCACGGGAGTAACTAGGATTTAAATCCGTTTAAGGAACCAAAAATTAACTGACTGGTTCTAAAAAAAAGTTTTTGCGTGGCGGTTTTATTTACTTCTTACGATATAGAATGTTATTTGACAATTGCGTAGCTCGACAACCGATGATTGCTAGTGCTATTAATGAGCAGAGATATTTTAAAAAAACTCCGAAAATAAGGAGCAAAGGTGTAGACATCTGCTAAGTGACAAGTGAATATCTAAATTTGGTATCGCAGAGTTTCAAACCCACCTTGTCATGAATAAAGATTCCTCGCAAACGATGCAAGAATAACAAAAGTGAGGGACGAATATCGTGAAATCTGGGCGCGAGAGAGGACTTCTCGTTTTGTTGATGTTCCTCATTTAATGGCAGGACTATACGTGTTGGCCAGCTACAGGAAAAAAAAGGGGAGAAAGGAAGTAAGGAATGTAATAATAAACAAACAAAAGAACGAGTTCGTAGAGCGCTGGAGTGACACCAAAACTTAGGTTGATGGTCTGGTATACATGTCACTATCCCCTTAAGACACTTTGATTAAAAAAAATGTTCAGTTTAGAAACAAGTTTCTGCACGTGGCAATTCACCAGGGATTCTCTGGGGGTATAAAAGTCACAACTCACTTGCTAAATTCATCCGCGGTGTTACTCACTCCATCCTCATTATCCCCCTTCTCATCATAAACAGATTCGTCTCCCAAATCCTCTCTAGCCCGTTCCTCCAGAGACTTGTCTTCAATCCACTCAGGAAGTATGTAACCAATTGGCCCGCTTTTTGCGTCAAATCGAATATGATATCCATTGGAATGGACCTCAGGACAATCGGTAACCCGGAATACGGACTTAAAACCGATACCTTTTTGTCCTGAAATCGCGTAGAGCAATGAACATTAATAACTAATATACATCATTCTAAGAGTAATTAAGTCAGAGTACTTGCCAAACAGTAAGGTGTCAAACATTTTGTGGTTTGAGCACTGAAAGTGGTCTCTAAAGAACACCTTGCGCATAAAATGCATCCTTGCGGCTTTTTGAGACTTTGAAAAATCAAACTTTTTTGGACACAACAGAAAAATAACCTTTGAAAGCAAAACATTCGTTTAGGAAAACCCTACACCTACATGTAGATAAACATTAATCCTTGATCAAATATATCTGCAGTCATTTTCTCTTAAACTCTAAGTGAGTTTGAAGCATCAAACGTTTTGGTACACAAGAGCAAAATAGTTATAGACCAAGAAAATGAACATCCAAAATTAAGAAACTTTTAAAAAGTGGGTTCTGCGGACACACAGGAAACATGCATGAAATGGGCGAGGATTGGTTTAACTACCGCACGGGCCAACTATTGTTGCTGATTGGGTGAAATGTATTGCAAAGTACTAATGTACCCACATACCAATGTAGCCATAACGATGTTTCCCTTTCGTACTTCTTCCAACATCACACAACGCACGGATATTCTTCTCCTCAAATCCAACTTCGTTGTTTAATATCACGATCCTGTC